TTTAGTTTTAGTTTTTATCTTGATGACTTTCTCTTGTATTCTTACTCGATTATTTTTAGCTTTAAAACACCAGACATCATGCTTCTCCGTGTTTTGTACATGTATGAGTCCCATGTGACACACACACGTGAAACATGTTTTTTTTTACACAAAATTTGAATGATTGTATCACTTTACTATTATGTATCCAATTTTTTTTTTTCATTTGTCTACTATTCTCTGAATTCTGTAATCTAAGTTGTATTAACCTTTCTGCTAGCCTCTCGTTTATTCCAGGAATATATCAACTTTCAGTTTGAATGTTTGTCATTCTTAAACTTTTTTCTTTCCTTTTTTTGCAATAATGATTCTGTTGATGGATTATTTCCATACTTTTTTAGATTATTAGGGTGGTTGTGTTTTTTTGTAGACAATTTCTCTAGTTTATGCGAGTAAATCCATTCCTCAAGGTTTGCGACTTTTTATTTCTGCACTTGCTGCAGTCTTCGCATGTGAATGTAGGTTTGAGGTAGAAACCGGAACAGCTAGGCAGGCCTGTTATAGGGGACTCCTTAAGTGCATGCCCAAAAACAGATCATATGTCTCCATCTAAGCAAACACTCTCTATTGCATTTCACTCTCTGACTTACAACGCTCTGTTTCTAATGCATGATAAATCAGTTCTATGCAAATTTATGCTAATCATGTCACTATATGCAAATATATGCTAATTATTACCACTTCTTCTAATCATTTCATTTCTCACATCATCATTACTCTGCTGTGGCTGGCTTGTATATTATTCCTCTGTAACCTGCTGTCGTACGTTCGTTCATCCATCCTTCGCTGCGCATGAACGTTACGAAAACCCAACCATGTAACTCCTTGCAATATCTTCACATCTGCTGCGGCTCAATAGACGAACCCTGCCAAACCCGACGCCATTCTACTGCCCAGCCTGCGATTGTTGCCAGTAATTTGACACGTAATAGAAATGTATCTTTGCGACGGGCATCCCTCTGGTCTGGTTCCACATTAACAAGCCCAGGTAGAGCATAACACTCTTTGAATATTTACTTTCAGAATATACTTAGTTACTTCCTTTTCATTTAACATTACAATGAAATCGCTTGATTTGCGAACACTGTATGGCAATATTAATGTTAAATTTAATGTTATTATTTCATGTTTTTATTATTTTTATACATTTATAAAATTCTCTTCTGCCTTTAAGTTTAGTCCAATATTATTCCAGTTGAATTAAGAACCAATTTCTGCTGACTTTTACTTTTGTTTTCTTTTTTTTTCCTTTTTCCTTCTTCTAGTATTAGGTGGGTGGTTAAATGGATCAGTGTAGAGTATAGTGCTACTATTTGGCACAAATTAGATATGCTTTCTATTCTTGTTTGCCTTACAAATATTTTCATTTTCTGCAGATAGTTTCATAGTTGAAAAAAAAAGAAAAAAATGGTGTGGTACTGTGGTTAAATTCTCAAGCACTTGTTTTTGTTTTGTTTTAGTTGTTGTTTTATGCTTGTTTACTTATGCTTGCAATGTTCGATAGCTCCCTCTGATTCTCCAGTTTTCCCTTTTTCTCTGCTGCCATCTGGTTTGCAATTTACAGTTCTAATTTATGCGTAATGCTAATTTTGATCTTAGGTGATGAAGAGAATACCGGTGCTGATAGAACGGAAAGACAGACACATAGTCATTCACATGCAACTCAGGTGTTTTTCCCATCATGCATCTGTGCAGCAGTTCTTCATCTCATAATGTTGATGAACGATGGAGACGTTAATGAAGAAGGCGTTGCTGGTTTGTAATCTTTCCTTGTTATTTGAAAGTGATTTATTGAAAAACATTACTACATTTTTGTATAATATCAGACAAAAAGTTTACCACCAAAGTTTTAATGCATCATTTTGAAAATTTAGACAACCAACAAATTTTAATTTCAATCAGATGAAAAACACGTTTTAGGTCTTGAATGATTGGTGAAAGAATCTGGAATAAAGTTATCTGGGCTTATTTTGTGTATTAAAGTATCAAAATTTAGCATTAATCATATATATTGTGGTCTGTAATGAAATTAATTTGAATTTTATGCCTGTACTACTGTAAAACATGTCTTTTTCGCGAGCATGTCTATTTTGCGAATTTAGCGAGAGAACTGATTCGCTAATTCAAGATGTCGCTAATGACTTTATTATCAATTCAAAATGGCCACCAAACAAAGAAATCAACAATGACAAGAGAGATTCGCTAAATCAACATTTCACTACTACCGGGTACGTTATTTTACCACAATTCGCTAAAATTGCATGGCGTTTTTTCAACATGTTTTACAGTATTTTGTGTGAAATTACAAAAATGACAATTTAATAGTGATGAGATGGCTCACTTCATATTCCTTTTCTTTCAGTCAGTGAAGTTGCTAACAAAGTCATATGGAGTTGTTTGGTGGAAGAACCTGCTTTATTTCTTCGTCACTTTCTTGAGAAGCTTACAAAAAGAAATAAACAGGTTTGATTTATTTTGTGTTTATTTTAATGGAAAACAACTTTAAAACATTTTATGATAAAACAGTACCTTGTTCACACGATCATCCTGAAGTGTTTTGTGTGTTAGTCCACTTAACCATTTGCAATCAGTTCAAAAACTTGGTTACTGTAAACTAGCAAGCTATGATAACACCGAGAAATAATGTAAGGAAACTTGCCAAAGAGGCTTCACAGAACAACTTGCTAGGACTGTATGAATAGTGTGTGACAAAGAAAAATACTTTATTATCTACAAACCAAAGATGAATTGTATTATTTTTACGGCTTATTATTACCTTGCTTGTATCATCAAAGATGAAAGGAAGTAATATATAAAGGGAAAAATGTCTGTTGTCGTCGTTTGTTGCACAGTCTAATGCACATGTGCAAACATACCGGTACCAATAAAATACATAAACTATCTAAACAGAAAACAAGATAATCGATATAAGCACTCCTATGAATAACCCTTTTGGATACCAAACTTTTGATCAAGATCTGAAGCTGATAGACAATTATATCTGCTAGTCCAAAGTTATCAAAACAAAAATAATGCACTCCCTATCTGTGTTCAAATTTACAATATGGGCTCACAATTTTTTAGCATGTGATGTTTTTTTTAGATGCGTTGCTCCCTAGTTGAATGCAGGTTGACATACAGTGTATATTTGTGAAATTCATGGAAAACATACCTTTTGCAAATATTTTTGCTATACCTGAATTAATACATTCACATAGCAGTTCAGACTTTTTAGTGGAGAGAAACATAAAAATGTAGTCTGCTCTTGATTTTTGCCTTGAATTAATTTC